ATTCTACTCCAATATATGAAACTGGAGAATGAATAAAAGCTCTGGTTGAAAGAATGGCAGTGAGAACAGGGCAGGTGGTGCTTGAAGCTCTGCCCTCTGGCCCTCCCCGTCTCTACCTCCATCCATCCCCTGAGGCTCCACCTTACCCCTTAGGCCTCCATACCACATCCCTTGGAAACCTTTGTGGACTCCGGTGGGCCAGGCCCCTTCTGGATCAGTGGATGTGCTGAAAAATACTCTGGGAAGGCTTTGGAGCAGCACCTGCCACGGTAGTATCCTCTCAGGGCCCTGGAAATGCAGACAAAACCACTCCCGAGGCCACACTCCCACTGCAGCATCCCAGCTGGCTCGCTAGGAGGGGCCGCTCAGCTCTCCTGAAGTGCTCACTCCTCAAGCATCACTCCAGACTCTTGATACGCCCTTCCCTCAGTGACCGCAGTGCCTGTCCTCCCTCTGCCCTGCCAGAACCAACCCACATACCTGAAGCTGCCCTAGGAGAGGTGGAATGAGAAGCTGGTGCTATTTCTTTCATCCCTCTGAAGCCACAACCACCTCCCAGGCTAGGTGTTGACAAACCAGGAGGGTGAAAGAACATTCCGCCTCACTTCATACCCCCATGCCATCAGCCACTGCCTCACCACCTGCTGATGGCAGCCCTAGGCACCCAGTTCCCTGCATTCTAGGGGTGCACCCACCAGGAAGCTAATGCAGGCCCTGGATTTCTATAGCTAGTTTGCCCCTCCCTTCACCCTCTTCTTCCTGCAGCATGAGAGGCGCAACCCACATCCCAAGTTGGGTCTACTTTACGATGTCTTGGCCCATTGCTACCCACCCTACTCCAATATCCCCAGTGCCACTGTCTGTCCTTGGATAGGGGTGGTGGGAGCTCTGGGGCTGCCTTGCCAGATGGTGAAGCCAGTGCTGAGCACTGGAGGCGCATATGGGAGGCAACAAAATCTAGGAGACAGAAGCATTACCAATACCAGTCCTTCTCCCAGCTCCGGCCCCACCCCCTTCCATGCAAGGAGGAAGCCACTGCCTGGCTGCTACTGAGGTTGAGATCAAGATGCTACTCACAGAGGGCACGCTTTTGGCCTGGCTAGGTGAGCATACAAATCCATATGCAGATTATATGCAAATCTGGGGCGTGCCCTTGGGTTCCTGGCGCCCTGCCATCGCTGCTGCCTGTAGCTCACACCCTATTCATGCACCTGGGTACCCGCTAGAATCGACTGGGCTGGGAGCTGAGAAAGCGCTTCAGGAACTAGGGGATATTTTCTTGACTACTTCAGAGGTCGCCCAGAAAACAACTCCTCCAAGATCATGGAGGGAGGAAGAACCTCCCAGCCTGGAACTCATATCCCTGCAGAAAAGCTCTCTGAGCATCTGCCCTCCCCTCTCTTCATCTACAATTAAATCATCCCTCACCAGCCAGAGCAGGGTACCAAGTAAGTGGCAAGGATGGAATTCTAAGACACAGAGAAGGTCAGCAAGGCTTGAGCTCTGCACCTCTCTGTCATAGGCTAACAGCCCATGGGGTGCTCTGGGCAGACCTTGGCCCTGTGTTTGGGGGCTCCCAGCCAGCCTGTTGGGGGCCTGCTTCTCTAGCAAGCTCTCCCTGGGCCAAAGCCCTGCCTGCTTGCCCACCTCCCTTCTGATCCTCATCCTAAGAAAACTAAGCCTCTCTGGCCAGTCCCCTGGGATCTGTTCAACTTAAGCGCTGCCTTTGGGTCCACTGCTTACTTGCTTTTTGTTTCTAATTGAGCTCCCCATTCCACTGCAGAAATATATTAAAGGCAGCTGGCTTTGATGCCCAGAAAAAAGAAGCATCAGAAAGGCTTGTCGGGCATCATGGCACTGCCAATCTCCCTCATGTTATTCTAGCAACCGGGGTCTCTCTGCCACTCACCCCCTCCCCAGTATTCACTGGCCCTTCATCTCTCTCCCCTAAGTTGTGTTTGCCATTTCAAGATTTTAAAAACACATTTCCCCATCGCCCCCCCTCCCTTTTTTTAATTAGACACTGAACAGAATGTTGGAGATTTTCTTAATGGCCTGACGAAGGCTTTTAATTTGGTCTTCTCAAGAGAGAAGAACCATGAGTCCCCATCGGAGAAGTTGGGGTGGGAAATGAAAAAATCAATGCAATCCATTATTTTGGCTTTTAGAAAACAGGAATTTTAGTGCTGGGGAAGCTTGTTCTTTTACACAGTAAAAATGCAAATGCAGGCAACACAGATGCTGGCACGCTGGATGGAACAACGGAGAGCGCCTCGCCGGGGTTCATCCGGCTGCCTAAACCTGGATTTGTTTTGGCAATAATAAGGCAGTTATTGGAGACTTGATAACCGATGATTAAAACCCCTTCCCAGTTTAGTTCTAGGGAATCGGTCCGAGCTCAGGCATCATTTTAAAAAAAGGTATTTTGAGAGGAATGGAAATAACAGAAGCTTAAAACACATTCAATAACTGCTTAATTCCATCCAGAGGATGCTCCATCTCATCCTGTTTTCTTCTCTCTCTCCCTGCCTCCTCCCGCTCCTCACAGATGGACGTACAAATTATTGCAAGAGGATATTGTTTTCTGTAACAGGCTCGAACATTCACATTTACATTTTCCTTGGTGCCGCGGGGGTGACTGGCAACGGGAGAGAAAATACACCAAACCCCATCTTTCTTGCTGTCTCCGCATCACATCTTCCCCGAGCCGCCTCTGCCACCCCCTACCACGCCACCCCAAGCAGAACAGGCCCCGGGGACCAGCCTGGCACCTAAGACCCAATTAAGGCACCAAGGAAAAGAAAGGCCTGTCTGGCGAGGTGCCCTGGCGCCCAGCAGACGCTGGAGCCTCTGAATCGCAGGGGCACCAGGCTCTGCAGACCCAAAGGCCACTGAGGGGCCGCCACAACTGGCACCTCCCGCCCGCTTACAGGTCCAAGGCCACTGGCAACTTCCCTCTCGAGTTGGACAAGATTTTGCCCCTTGGCTGTCCTGTTGCCTTCTGGGCCTTTCTGCACCCCCACCTCCATCTGCTCCCGCCCTATCAAATAGCTCGGCTTCATTTATTAATGCCAGGCTCCTGGAAGGGGGAGGGGAGCGTCCTTCCGGTATTTGCTGAGGGGCCTCCTGCAGTACCGGGGAATGGGCTGTCCTGGAAGATGTCTCCAGAGAGTGTTGTGGAGGCATGGGGGAGTTGGGGACAAAGCCGGGCTAGAGTGTGGCAGCGGCTTGGGCCTGTGCTTTCTCGCCTGACAAATTGGGAAAGGGGATGGGGGTTGGAGAGAGAGCTATCGAGAGAGAAAGCCGCTCCTCACCTTATGTATTTTTAATATTAATGTAATTAAAGCTGCGAGCCGAGCCAGCCTGCGGGGGCGGAGGGAGGCAGGAAGAACCTGGGGAGAGGGAGACTGGGGTTCGGGGGTGGGGCTTGAACAGGAGGCAGGCTTCTTGCTCTGCTAAGGTAGGATGAAGGAGTGTGATGCAGGGGGCAAGGGGTTAAACAGCAGAGACCAGCCTTGGTGTGTAACCCGGGGGGACCCCACTGGGCCTGAAAAACTCAACTACTTTGTCCACGATTTTGGATGCCACCCTTCCTTGTCCCGCAATCCGATCGCGCAGTAAATGCCATGCCAGCAGTATCTTGGCCTTGAGTCTAGCTTTGACCCGGCGGTATGTACAAATAAGGGTTATCCTCCTTCCCCCAGCCCACGGTGTATCGCAGTGGGCTCCGGCAGGCTGCAGACTCCAGACCCCTGGAGCACCAGCAGGGCAGGGCTGGAACCCTCCCCGGGCGCCAACGCTCCGCTGGAGTGCCCTTCCTCATCGCCTGGGGGTCAAGAGTTGCCGCCCGACCAGGGCAACAGCCAGGGCAAAGGAAGAGAGAAGCCGCCCCGGGGAGCGAAGGAGAAAAGTTAGAGGGCTGAACAGGTGATGCTGAGCTTGTTGGAGCGTGTGTGCTCTACCGCGCAAGGGCGCGGAGTTCGGCCGCCTCATCTCCCGCCATCTGCGCTCCCCAGGGCACGTCCTCTGCGATAGCCTGGAAGCCCGACTACTTGCGCCTGCCTGGTCCCGACTCAGTGCACAGGTGACTTCAGTCGGAAATGTCTGCCCTCTTCCAACCTCCTGGTCCCGGCTACCTCGCGGATCAGGTACGCTGCGCCCCAGCCACAGGTCTGGACATGCCGGCCACCTGGACCCACCCCCAGCAACCCTCTCTCTCCAGGAAGAAGGACACGCCCCCCAGCCTGAAGACTTGTCCCCAGGTCCAACTGGCCAGGCGCGGAAGCGGAGAATCTCGCACCTTGGGGTGCGCTGCCCGAGGTGGCCACGGTGGCGCACCAAGCCGGGGCTAGCGCCAGGGGCAGAGGGGTGAGGTGGGGCCGGAGGAGGGTGACCTCTGGGTTTGGAGAACAAACTTGCTATCCGAGGGACCTCCAGCTCTCCGGACTCTCACTATCCCCACCCTGCCTCCAGCCAATGCGCGGATAAGCGCCATGCGGTGCGCCAACATTCGCGCCAGGGCTGGGGTCCGCGGCAGGAGAGGGGCGCACGCACATAGCGGAGACATCAACCGCCGAGTCCGAGGCCCGAATAAGCGAGGATTCCTAGGTCAAGAGTCACGGCCTGAGGAACCCTCGACTCGGAGGGCACTCCGGGGTCCCAGCGCCACCAAACCGCAGGAAGCGGGCAAGGGGCTGGGGGAGGGGTCCAGGGCAGAACTGCCGCCCGGCGGGGAGCCGAGAGATGAGGGGCTCCTTCGCCACCACCCCTACGGGCGTGCCCCAAAACGGCAGACGCGGGTGACTGGCGGAGCGGTCGGCAGCTGACTCTCACTCGGCCCCTGTCAGGGTGCCTGCCCCGCCCCGCTGCGCCCCACCCGAGGCCTTGCACCCCGTTGGTCACCCCAGGCACCTGGAGCCCGTCAGGCACCCCGCCTCGCCGCCAGCCGCGCCACCCTGGCCCCGCCACCTCCGCTGCCCAGCCGCCCGCGCAGGTCTCACCTTTGTGTAAAGAGTCCAGGAGCAGGAGGAAAGTTACCAGCCACATGCCATAAAGAGGCCCTATTCTCCGGGGAGGTGGTCCTGTGGCCGGCCGTGCGGCAGCGCCTCTCCCCCGCTCAGCGCGCTCCCAGCCGCCCGCACTCCGCGCCCCGCTCTCTCTGCTCCTCAGCCCAGCGCTCGGCTGCGGCGGCGGCTCCTCCCTCCTCGGCTCCCCGGCTCCTGTCATCCGCGGGGCTGGGCTAGGCGGCCGCTCTCCCCGCCCCCCCGCGGCACCCCGGGTGGTGAGCGCCGCGCGAGCCCGGAGCCCAGACGGACCCCAGCCCCACAAGCCCAGGAACAGGGGCGGCGGCCCGGGCCAGAAGGCCCCGACCCGGCTCCGCTGTCTGAGAGGCGAGGGGTCCCTGTCACCCACCGACTTGGAGCCTGTGGTAGCACACAGGCATGTGTCATCCATGTGCCAAGAGCCTGCCATGCCTCGGCCAAGGACGCCCGGTTTCTACTGGCCTAAGTCACCTGGGACACGAGCTTCCTGCCTCTTTCGGACTCAGCTTACCCCCCGGGAGGAGCATGGATGCTCTGGGTAGAATCCCAGGCTTTTTAGTGCTGTCTGGTGCTACTCCCCACCCCAAAGTTCGTAGCTGCCCTTCCAACCCCTCGTGACTTCCGCAAGCCTGCCCTCCGGAGAGCCCTAGATGAGTCCAGCCACCCCCTGGCACTATGTTCAAATTTTCCTCAGCACTTGGCACATTGTGACTATTTAAACAATTATTTGCAATGAGCAGTTTAATGTCTACTCTACCTGTGTATCTTCCTTCTTCATCTTCACCTACCCACCCCTATAGCTTTCTTGCCTGACAGAAATTGGCTTATTCCTTACACTCATCTTTATGAAGTTGGCATAGAATAGGACTGGAGTGAGGGCGTCTTCTCAGTGACCAAATGAATGTTGAGAACCTGCTGTGTCAGGCACTGGCTCAGGCACTGGGGACTCAAGCATGGCTGAGCCAGGTCTGCTGTAAAAGGTCAATATGGTTGGAAAGCCCTCCTTTTGTCTTAATTCGAAAATAAGAGGGTACATAGAACCCAGAGAAGGGATCTAGGTACCCCTGAGAATGGCCTGTGAGCCAGGACTGGAGCTCCCTTTGCAGGGTCATGGAAGCTGCTTTGAGTATGCCCTGACAATTTGGCTGCACCTGGGCACACTCCAAGGTGTGGAGTGCGAAGTTTGGAGGGAAAGAAGGGGGCCGCTGGCTAGCTGCATTTGCCAGAGGAAGAAAATTTACTTCTTCGAAATGTGTGGCCTAGTTCACACAGGAGAATTGGAACTCCTCACTCCCAGGTTTTGCCAAAATATCCCTAGAAATTTTAACTAAATTTTGAAAAGTGTGTGTTTTTTATATGTTAAAATACACATAACATAAAATTTACCATTTAACCTTTTGAAGTGTACTATTCTGTGGCATCAAATACATTCACGATGTGCAACCATCACCACTTACCATTTCCAAAACTTTTTCATCATCCCAAACAGAATCCTGCACCCATTAAATAATAACTCCCCCTTCTCCTCCCCTCCCCCAGCTCCTGCAACCACCATTCTACTTTCTGTCTCTATGAAGTTACTTATTCTAGGTACCTCATAAGTGAGATCATAAAGTATGTATCCTTTTGTGCCTGGCTTATTTCATTCAGCATAATGTTTTCAAGGTTCATCCTTTAAACGGGTGAGAAAAACCGGGCTTAGCTTGTTCAAGGCCACCGAGTTTGTATCAGAAGCAAGACTAGAACCCAGGCCTCCCGACTCCAGAGCAGAGCTTGCTCTATAAGCTGCTGCATCCCTCGGTGGCTCAGCTCCTCCATGCGAAATCACCACCCTGAAACAATTTGCAGGATGTGTCTTTTCATCTGGAAACACAGGCATAGAACAGAGATGGGGGGACAGAGAGCAGGAGGTGTTCGAGATGACCCAGACCAATCTTTTGCTTTATAGATAAGGAAACTGAAGCCCAGAGTGGGGAAGCCATGAGCCTATCTGAGGTCACGCAGGGAGTGACAGAGCCCTCACGTTTCCAGTCTTCTGTCTTAGCTCCCATCTCCCACCGCCGCCAGGCTGCTGGCTCATTCTTCTACCACGCCGCTTCCCTTCTAAAGGGAACGGTCATTGAGAAGAATCCAGTTATTTAAAACTAAGCCTATTGACCCAGAGCACCTGGTCAGACTATGCCTAAAATAAACCGCTAAGGCAGACAGGATGAAAGGGGCTGCTGTCTGCTGGGAGGGGATCTGAGTGGGCCTGGGGGTATCAGCACAGCTGCTCCGTGCCCCACACGCTGGAAGTAGAGAAGGACCCTCCTCTTTGCATCCACTCCAAGTACCTCTACAACCTGAGTGTAGGAGGTTTTATGCTAGTTACACGCAGTGGGCTTTAAAGAACCACAACATGTGCATTACCTGAAGGGCGAGGTCATTCATTGTGCCGGTGACTACAGTCTGGCTGTCCCTGGGAGGTGACATATATGTGGAAATAAAGGGGTGGTCAGGTGGGGAGAGCAGACCTGAGGACCCCTCTGGCAAAAGGAAGCTTTTTAATGTCATGGTTAAGAGCCTGGCTTTGGAAACAGCAAGAGACGAGTTCTCAGCCCAGCTCTACCAATTGCCAGCTGTGTGCCTGGGAAATGTATGCGTGCCAAGCTGCAGTTTCCTTACCGGTGGAATGGGGACATCCCCAGCATCTGCCTTGGAAAGTCATAGCGAGGATTAACTAAGACAAGCCCCATGGCTGGCACATCGTGAGCACAGGTAACTATCATGAATGGGAATGGCTTTGCTCACAAGGACCTTGACCTGTGGGAGCTGGGAGGAGGGAACTGTGGGATGTTGGGATTATATCGTGCATTCCATGCTGTGACAAGGCCAGAGCCAAGGAGCTGCAAATCCAGGCAAGAGGCTGCAGAAACACGGAAGGTGCACGTTGAGGCTGGAAGGGCCTGGAGAAATGTCTAACAAAAGAAGGACCTGAAAAATAGGCAGGTCAGGCCTGATGCTTTTTGTGTTTCCCATTGATTTTGTTCTTCCTTAGTATCTAGGGAAATATCTTTGAAAATGACAGGTTGGCTCAGATATATCCAGAAGTCTCCTCTTCGACAGGAGTTATATTAGGGGTGGGCGATCCAGCAGGCCAGGAAATCCCAAGGGAAAAATGAAACTCTGGGGAAAAGAGTCAGGCGGCGTGTTCTACCCCCACCCACCTTAAACCCTGACAGCCCCCTCTTCAGCTGACATTTTGGAGGGGCTATATTTTATTTTGATAGAAGGGACAGTTCCCAAAATTATCTGGAAAACTTCACACTCACACACAAATATATTCACACCAGAGTGAGAACAAACACAGTTGCCCAGGCAAACATTCATGTGTACAGGTAAACATAAACACTTAATGACAGGCACACCTGTGCTTAAATGTGATTTGAACACGATCCAGAAATTCTGCATTGGCACCTATGCATATGCTCCATGTTTTTTAAGCCTCAAATTTGTGGGATTCTTTTCTAGTAGGAACACACTATCCATTTAAAAGCAGTGATTCGTTTTAATATTTTCTTGCATCAGAATGCTGGGTGATGATCTGTCTACATTTTGGCTTTTGTGCTTTTGTTTTTGTTTTTTTAACCAAAGCCAGTTGAAGCAGCTACATGAAGTCACTGGGAGGTGAGCCCTCTCCAATTCAGGTTAATCATGGATATTTAGGGGGTATTATTTTGCCATGTTATATTAAGACTAGAGCCATCATGAGAAACAGCAGATGTTTTTATTGTTTAACTCAAACAATAAGCTTATATATTTTGGATACTTTTCTTCAAAAACAAAGGCATATAATTATTTTAACAAAGGCTTCATATGCCCTCTGGAATTCTTTGACAACTTGAGTATAAATAGGGTGTTCATAAAAGGAATCAATACTGAACCAGGTCAGTGTGAAAAACTTAACTTTTGGTATTATATAGCTAATTCAAGATTGACCTTCTTAGTACTTCCTTATCGGTTGGGGGAGGAAAAACAAGGATCTCCCTGCTTCCCTCCCTGCAATTTATAATTGATTTTAATATTATAGAAAAGGTCCTCATCTACAAATCAGAAATCCTAGGTTCTTGTGTCACCTCTGTCTCCATAGCCAGCTGTGTGATCTGTGACAAGTCACCTTTGCCTTTCTGGACCTCAGTTTCTTCACCAGTGAGGTGAAAGAGTTGGGCTAGAATGATCACCAAGATCTCTTCCTAAGACCAAACACAAGGTAAATGCAAACAGATATGCACATTCCCCCCTCCCACCCCACATAGGTGTATAGGGTGTACCCACAAATGTGTGCAGGCAGAGAAACAGAAGCTTTTATGCACAGATATTCAGAAACTAATAGGCACAAAAACATTACACAAAATAAACAGTGTTGGCTTCAAATATATCCACATACAACTAAAATTCCATCTTCTTGAGATGGGATGAATCATTACAATTCATAGAGTATGATGCCTATATTTTAAAAAATAGCATGTGTCATTAAACTACCCAGGTTCTCCTTAAACCCAAATTCTGTCTGCTGGTCTCAGAAGATGTCTAGGTATGTTTGCCACTTACTCTCTCATCATTCTGGATGATAATATTATGGCTCTAAGCTCACTGGAGCAAAGGGTCGAAAGCCCTGGGGCTCTGACAGTACTGATGCTGTCTCTGAGGTCCCATTGCCCTTGTTCAGGCTGCTGTCTCAGCAGTGACTTCAGGATGGTTGGTCAGGGGCTGTGGAAGACCCCAGCAAGGCAGGAGTCCCTGGAAAACTGTGCCTCTCTCCCGCTGTTCTTTCTCAGCTCACAACTCTGAAGTCGGTTGAGAAGCCAACCCAGAGAGGGTCCATGAAGTCTGGATTTGATGGAGCTGAAGCTCATTGTCCCATTTCTCTCTGGAGAGTGGTGGTGTGGAAGGTATGAAAACTGAGAGAGATAGGGAAAAAAAGAAAGTGCAATGAGTGGAGCTAAATTTGCTGGCTTCCCAAGTCTTCCGGCATTTCTTCTGGCCCATGGGTCACTCACAAATGTGCTTATCACATTTTATGAAAGTGTTTTCTACGCTGGAAAACCTTCACCCTTCTCAAGTACCCAGTGCCCCCTTTTTCACCTGTTTAAGGCTTCCCATTCAGCAGGGCCTGGTCAGGTACCCTCAGTTATCCCTGACCAG